GGACATTCGCGCGCGCAAGACGAAATCCTTCCAAAAGCTTAGTGTTCGGAGCGATTTTAACATAAAAACATCAAAAAACCAATGGTTTTTCAACAAAAAAATGTCAAAATCTCATCCCGCGCGCTCTTGCGGATTCGTAGGAAACCCAACACTTTTTAAACATTTCTGTCAAACGGGCTTTTGCGAGCAACTTTTTCGAACTTCTGCGACAACGGTTGCGCACCTGCCAGGGCCATCATCCCTGTCAAATAATACCATGCGGGACACATTCGTTTTTTCTTCGCGCGCGCACGCCGTCGTCGTCGGCCGCGGGGCCCTGAATAGTAGCCACGGTCGTCCGCATGCCACGAAGTGAAGTGTCCGAACGTCATAGGGCGGGAAGCTGGGTGTGGGTGGTGGCGAAGAGTCGTTTGGAAATTTGGTAGAGCTTGAACCGGCCCCCCCACAAAGTGGGGGTATTGCCCGCCTCCTATGAAAACCCTGGCACTGGTGAGAACGGAGTGTCCCCAGTCTTAAATGATTGTTGTTGTTGTTGTTGTTGTTGTTGTTGTTGTTGTTGAGTTTCCGTTACTGACGAATAATTATTGTTCATCCCCCCTCTGGTCACCATTGTGTTCTTTCAATTGAAGTGCTGTCTCCAGGGCTCGCGCCGTGTTTTTTATCAGGGAAAGTCACGGGGATCAAACTGGGCCCCTGGCCCCCGGTTTACAACAACAAAGGCTCCTCCCGCCTGATACTTCCTCACACTTTGTTCCCAAATTGCGCTCTCGTGTGGGACTTCCTCATAATTCATGTACGCATCGCGCTCTCGCGTGGGATTTCCTGGCAATTTTTTCAGACGATGCGCCCTCGGCGCTCAGAAATCACGCTCTCGCTTTGGTTTTTTCCACGATTTACTTGTGAATCGCGCTATCGCTCGAGACTTTCTCGCGATTCATGCAGGACCCACGCTTCAGCAACCCGCCTGCTCGACCTGGTCGCCTGGGCCCGCAGTTCCGACCTGCCCGCTATGGGTCTGCCCACCCGATCTGCCCGTCTGGTTCTACCACTCGTTTTTTGCTCCTTGCCCCCCTCCTGCTATTTACTCTCGTGCTCCATTCTTCTCCCTCCCCCTTCCACCCGTCCTCTCTTCCCTTGTTTTAGGGGCTGCGCTACATGCACTTGGCAGGTAAGGAAGATATACCCCCAAGGGGGTACGATCGAAGACGACGAGGGCGGGTACCGAGAGTTTGAGATATATGTATTGATTGGCATGTGAGCAGATAGGAGCAAAAAGTCTTAAACTGATTGTTGTTGTTGTTGTTGTTGTTGTTGTTGTTGTTGTTGTTGTTGTTCTTGTTATTGTTATTATAGTATTTTCTCGTGCTTGTCTTTCACAGCCGGTCGGGGTCGCCTTGCTGCCTCGGTGCCTGTCGTTGTCACGATGCCCCCAAGTCGAGGTTCCACGAGCCCTCTCGGAGGGCCTGCTGGCTGGGCGCCTGATCATGATGGCGTCCAGTATGCGACGAGGTGGTGCCGAAGGGGATGCAGACTGCGTGTCTCGAGGAATCTCATACGGCATAAACATACAGTTTCGGAGCTCCGCGTGTATTTATCGAATAGGCGCGGGTCCCCCCTGTCTCGTGCGCTCCGCGTGCCAGGGAGTGGGGTCCAGCGCCAATCCTGGAAATCCGCGCAGAGCTTCGAAAGTTTATGTTTATGCAGTGGTTCCATCCTCTACCGTCCAAGTTTCTTTTTCACAATATTTGCCCTCGATTTCCTCACTTCAGGTGCTTGCGCATCCTGTGCTCTCCCCGTGTCCCTTCCCAGAACTTATCACACTCCGCTCGCCCTTCTCGGGACTGTCATGCCTCTCGCTAGGTCACGCCTGCTCATGCACTTTCACCATGTTTGTCAACACTCTTTGCCCAGCGTCTTGACCTTCGCGATACGATAGCTCATCATACTGTGTTATTGACTCCATCAGGCTCGCAACTGGGTTTAATGTTGTTATTCTGAGCGAAATCCAGCCAGCGGGGTAGTCAGTCCATGAACGAAGCGGAGGCGCAACCACACAGCAACGCGACTCGTGTTGTATATGTGTGGTGTGAGTTGGCTGGCAGTTTAGGTTAGCAGTGGCTTTGTCGACTCGACGTTTGGAAGTCTCTGCTTGATTGTAAGGCTGCCCCGCTGATGTGAATGAGTATTCGGGAAGGCCAGCAGGCTTCGCAGGTACAGACTTCCAATTGCATGCGCTCATTGCCCACAGGCGGCCAGATAGCTGCGCACAGTACATTTCGCAGCAGTGTGCGCGCTGGCCGGGGGAGGGGCGAGACATGGAGCGTAGATGCATTGGGGCACCCAGCGTCCGGAAGGACAGTTCCGTTGCCGGCGCGCGAAAAGAACGCCTGGCTCGGCACACCCCGAAGAGCTCCACGCTCCGAGGGGGCTCCCGCCGTCCGCGGCCCTCCCCCCGTTCTCTCCCGGCTTGCTCGCGGCCTTTATGCCTAGTTCGTTCCGCAGCAGCCCTGCCGTAGCCACGACCGCACCTTGGATTCGAGGTGCTGCTCATCAAGCGATCAAGTGTAAGAATAGCCTTAGCTCTCGGAGCCAGTTGACTGATATTTGGTGCCACTATGGCTTAGAGCTCCCTTGGCGATCGTGCTAGAGACTGCACGCCGAGCATTCTCCTGTCTCTACGGCTGCCTCCGAGGATCTGCTGAGCCAGCAGCGCCTCCTCCACGATTTCCAGCCGAGGACGTATCCTGTCTCTTTGGTTGGTCGACTGATTGAGGAGTCAAGGTCGTTGCAGCGAGTCGTGCAATGGTCATCTGCGCCGTTGTCAACGCCCTCTCGAGACAAGAAGCTTTCGTCATTCCGCCGACCCCAGAAAGGTGGATGGGCGAATGTAGTCCCTTCCGCGTCCCGTATCCACAGCAGGCCATCGAGAAACGACGCCTAGGCGAGCTGTCCAGAGAAGGCAGGGAGGCACGAGCAGAACGACAGAAAAGCTGACTTGCTTGACTGATATTACCTCTGGAGGGCCCAGCAGAGTGGGGCTTCGGATCCAGTCGGGATCTCGCGGCCCCCTGGGGGACCGCCACCCGCGCCACCGTCGCCACTCTGGCGGGCTCCCGCGAGTGCCAGCGGGGTCGGGGTGTGCGCAGGTTCAGTCGGGATCTCGCGGCTCCCTGGTGGTCCTGCCGACTGCGCAACTGCCGCCATTTTCGTGTGGTCCTGGAGGTCACGCGGAGTTGGGGTGTACGCGGATCCAGTCGGGATCTCGCAGCTTCCTGCAGTCGGGTGACTGTTGTTGGTAGGGGAATTTCAATGAGCATGCCATATCGGGAAGATTCTGGGTGCAACGTCACGTTATCAACTTCATTGCATCCGTAGCCAAACCGACCGAAAACGACCGACGATGACGACGACGACGACGACGACGACGACGAGGACGACCGTTGGACCGATTCAGGACGACGACCGACGAACGACGATTAGCGACAACGACGAAACACGGCGACGGCCGACTGACGACGACGACGACGACGACGACGACGTTTGGGGGGTGGAGTCGGGGTCCGTCTGGCGCGCTGGGAAGGCCTCAGTCGAAGGTACGTTCGGGTACATTCGGGGGTTCATTCGCGGTTCGTTCGGGTTCACTCGAGCTCGTTCGGGTTCACTCGCTTTCATCAAGGCCCAGCATTGTGAGGTGCTCTCAGCCCTCCTGCACGTGCCGGCCCGTGGCTTCTCCTCGCAGGTTGTGTGGGTGGACGCCTCGGTCACATCAGCCTCGTTCTCGAGGGCGTTGAGGAGGTCGACGATACCAGAAAGCCTGAACGCAGTTCACTGCCATGTTGGCCCTGGACAGTAAATCTGTTCGGAGCTCGACCAGAGTTCTAGTATCACATGCACTCTTGTGCCTTCCTCCTCTCTCTCTGAATCCGCTGCCATGGTTCACTCAAGGCAGCTGTTTGTCCACGTACCTGCAAAACGATCCTTCCTCCATCTCACCAACGCCTCAATTTCTACTACCGGGAGGCATCTCAACATATCCCCATATGGATCCAATCCGCATTTGACACAAAACCCAGGTACGGCGACTGGATGGCAGGATGTACCGTTGGAAAGAGAGATGACATCTACCGAGAAAGAGAAATATACAGGAGCAGGAGGAGGAGGAGGAGGAGGAGGAGGAGGAGTGGGAGGAGGAGATGGATAAGGCTGATGATGCTGGTGGTTGTGGTGATGATGATGCCGATGATGTTGATGATGCTGCTGATGATGATGATGACGATGACGATGACGATGACGATGACGATGACGATGATGATGATGATGATGATGATGATGATGATGATGATGATGATGATGATGATGATGATGATGATGATTCTGATGATGATGATTATGATGCTTGTGATGGTGATGGTGATGATGCTGGTGCTGATGCTGATGCTGCTGCTGCTGATGATGATGATGGTGGTGGTGGTGGTGGTGCTTGTGGTGGTGGTGGTAATGATGATGGTGGTGGTGATGATGATGACGATGATGATGGTCCTCTTATTCCCCTCCTCGCTGCGCCCCAGTGGTCTCTGCAGCTTGTCGGCCTCGGGTGGCCAGCGCGCCGCCCCCGGCCGGGCCCCCCGACCGCGGCCCGCGGCAGGGGGGCCGCATTCAGACGAGCCCGCACAGGGCTGCCTTCATCGAGGTCCTCGTTTTCGTGAACCCCCGCCTCCCTCCAAACGACGCGAAGATCGGGACAAAATCGGATCGGGACAATTCGAAATTTCTGAGAATCGGCGGGTTTGGAGGATGTTTTGGGCGCCGCGGCCGCTCCAGAGCGTTTCGGGACGCTCTGAGAGCGCTCCGGAGCGCTCTGGAGCGATTTATCCCGATCCTAGCCCTGTTTTATCCCTCCCTCATCCTCCACCGCAGTGCGCGGCAATGCCCGAGGAAGATCCAGAAACGAGGGCGGCGCCGACCGGGATACGTAAAACACCACCAGGGGCGCAGGAAGGCCTCGCCTGGGTGCGCGTGCCCCTGGACCTCCCAGGAGCCCACGAAAGGGGCGACGGTTGCGCAGTTCGCAGCCACCCAGGTCGCCCGACTGGTCGCCTCAGGCGTCGGTCGTTTCTGGTGGGGGGCCCTAGCGGCCCTCCGGCCTGGCCTCGAGCCCTGCCTGCTCCGCCTGCTGCCTGCCTCTCGAGAAGGGCGGGCATCTGGCTCCTGGGGGTCCCTCCTCCGCGGGGGCCTCCAGTGTCCCGCTCGCACTGGCTCCTGCGGCCCTGCGTTGCGCGGCGGCTCCGTGGACCCCGTGCGCATAGGCTTGCCGAGTGCTGCGCTTTCGTGGCGGCTATTGCAGCGGCTCTTCGGGCCCCTGCGCCCTTCTCTTTGCAGTGGCTCGTCGGGCCCCGCTTGCAGTGCTTTTAGGCTGCTTCTGTAGCAGCTATGCGGGTGAGGGAGGGCGCTTTCTTTCTGGGTCTCGGCGCAAAAACCTCATCCTACCTCCCCCTCCTCTCCTCCCATTCTTACTTCGAAGGAGGAGTGGAACGTCGAGGATGAGACCGCGGGGCGTGAGAAGATTCACCGTTCGCGTCTGAGGCTTGTGTCCGAAGTTGCTACCGCCCTTGCTGAGACGGTTCGCACCGCCCTGGAGCCCGCTGCTACTCGGAGAAAGCGCCCGCGCCGCCAACCCAATCGCAGCTGCAGCTCGTGCGACGGCTCCCAGAACCGCCTTGCCAAGGGCAGCTAGGATAATGGCGCGAAGAAAGCGGCGTTCGGGACGGAGGAGTCGGAGTTGGTGGGCCTTCTGACCTCTGTCTCTCCTCTCCACCCCCTCCCCTCCCAGCGCCGCTTCGCCCTGGCTCAACTGCCCTGCTGTTTCGGCGGTCTCCAACGAGTTATTTCGCGCGGGGCCTCCTCCGCTTGCTTTCCTGGCAGACGTTGCGGTCCCGGCTGTGTTGAGTTGGTTGGTATGCGCTGCTCCAGCAGTGCTGTTACGGCCCCACAGGGAAAAAGTCGTACCGCTCTTTCAAATGCCGCCGTGGTTCACAAGCTTGGCACTCCGCCGCGGAATAGTCCGAGGGTCGCCCCGTCTTACGCGCTGGCTTCTGACCCCCTTGAGGGCTGGAACCGCCTTCCCAGGAGGCAGCCGTTCCTCCTGATCCATCGGTTGGGATGCGCTGTTGCAGCGAGGCCGTTCCAGCTGCGCAAGGACTTGCGCGCACCGCCGAGGGGAACGGAAGAGGGGTGGAGACGACACGTGGTCGCCCCACGCCGCCGCGACCTCGCGTGCGCGTCCCAGGGGTGCGCTCTCTCGTCCCTCCCGCTCCTGCCGCGCCCGAGTGCGATCACGCCCAGCCAGCGCGTCACCTTACGCCTGCCAGTGCGTCGACCCGTGCCGCCACGGTAAGGCGTGTGGAACCGCCTCCTGGCTTCGCCGGCCTGGGAGCGGGCTTGCGGGTGCCGCCGTTGTTCGGCCCCTGCGTGCCGCCCCAGAGGAGTGCTCCTGCGAGCGGCGGTGTTTGTCGAGCCCTCGCGATCTGCTGCGGTTGCTCGGGCTACGGGAGGTTAGCCTTGCGTCCGTGTCGCCTACGCCGAGCTGCGATGCGGCGATTGTTCCCGTTGCGTCCGGGGTCCTGGCTCTGCTGCGTCGGCCAGCAGCGGCGGTGCTGGGCCCTCGGTTCTGCGCGCGCCGCCGCCCCCCCCCCCTCGGGCTCAGCCCCAGGCGCGCCTCTGGGGCCTCCCCTTTTCGGGGCAGGTATTCCTGTACCGACGGCCCAGGAGGAGGATGAGGAGGAGGAGGACGGGGGAGGAGGAGGAGGAGGAGGAGGAGGAGGAGGAGGAGGAGGAGGAGGAGGAGGAGGGGGGGAGGAGGGAGGAGGACCAGCGTAAACTCAAGACTCATAAACGATGCTGCAAACGAAAATACTCCCTGCAAGTTCCCTTTTCGCAGGTTCTGAGCCGCAGTGTGTGTCTAGTCCTTGTTCCGCTTGGCCTGCATATGGGAGTTGGTGCTATGCCTCGCCACATCAATATCCTTGAAACGCAGGTTTTCAAGAGCTCGTGTAGCTATTGCTGCATGCGGCACCCGAACTCCTGGGTTCCCGTCCTCCTGGACTCCAAGGTGGCTGTGGGTGCCACCGCGCCCGTCCCCTGGCCTCTCGCACGTGCTCTCTACTCTCGTGCCCTACGTGATCGGGGGTGGGCGTCCATGGTGCCGACGATCCCACCCGTGGCATGCCCGTTCGCCCCCTTCCAGGCGTCGTCCCCGCGTGGTTCGACGAAGTAGCGGCTGGGTGCTACGCGCGCTTCGATATTGTGGCCCAGGCAGACTCGTTCTCCCCTTGCCCCACGTGCTTGTGGGGTCGTATCGTCGGTCTTTTGATGGCTCGTGGCCCGGCCAGGGCCGCGAGCCAGAGCCGTCGGTCGGCCGTGGGGACCTGGCTGACGACGACGGCGCTCCGAACGCCTTGGCTGGCGGTCCTGGCCCCCTCTGCGGCTCCGCCGCGCCCGCGCGCGAGGCCGCGCGCCGCCTTTTCTGGGCCCCGGGGCTCCTGCGGCGCACCGACTGCGTCCGGTCCCCGCCCCGCGGAACCAGCACCCGCCAGCGGCGCGGGCGGAGGAGCTAACGCTGTGGCTCCGCCGCCCGTCGCGGGCCCTCCCATCCCCGTTGGCGACCCCGCCGAGCTTGCCGCCGCGCGTTCTGCGGGGGCTCGGCGCCGGAGGCCGACGCACCCGCCGCTGTTTTCTGTTCGGGGCAGCAACTCGTGCGCTCTGAGCGCGTGGGCGCAGTGCATGACGCAGCCCGTCCTGCTGAGGCTGTGCGAAGGCGCCGTCCGTCCAGGGGGCCTTCCGCAGACTCGCGCTGCGATGCCGCCCCGATCGGCGCCGCTCGTCGCCTCCCGTCGTGCGTGCCGCCGCGGCGGCGCAGTGGAAGGCTATGCGCGACGCCACAGCTGTACTGTGCAACAGCAGCGCGGCGGACTCGCAGAGGCCACGCGCGTCGGCGGCTGGAACCCCTCCGGCTCACCGCCCGCGCGCCCTAGGAGGGCGACTGCCGCGGGCGGCTAGCCCTCTGCCGGGCGCGCAGCTGACGTCGCGGCAGCCTCGGCCGCGGCGGCGGGCGAGCCAGAAACGCTCGTGGCGACCTCTTCGTTTGTCCTCCTCGATTGGCACCTGCCGCTCCAGCGATGCCGGTGCGGCTCCGCACGGCGCGGCGCGTGCTTCCGAGAGGGTCGCCCGAGGGACGGGGGCGACTCGTGGTCGCTCTCCTCGCCGACGCGCGCGGGGCTCCGAAGCGGGGCCGTTTGGCTTCACCGCCGACGTTGCTCCCGGGGGCGTTCGCTGCCAGCGCGCGAGCCCTGCCGCGGCCGCGCCCCGCCGAGGCCAGACCGCTGGTAAGCCGCCGCGGCCGATGGGCCCTACAGCCAGCCGGCCACCCAGGGAGGCGTTCCCGCAAAAACCGGGCCGCCGTCGCAACGCGGAAGCTTACGGCTTCTGGCCCATAGCCCGCTTCCTTTGGCCTCGCAGCGAGGCGATCTGCCCTCCCTTCTCCTCGGTTGGCATGGCGCGCTCCAGCGATGCTGCTACGGCCCCGCAGGGAGTGGCGCCCGCCGCCGTGGGGTTGGAGGAGGTAGACCCTCCTGGGAGGGCGCCGCGCAAGACCGGTGAGCTTGTGCACGTGCAGCCCTCGCCCGAGCCCTTTCCGAGCAGCGAGCGTGCCCTCGAGTTTGCACGGGCGGAGGAGGAGGCGCGCTCGGCCGGAGCCTCGGAGGCTCGGGCCGCCCTGGGACGCACGGCGTTCCGCGAGCAGCTGCGCGAGCTGGCCGAAACGCTCCTCGGGGCGGGCCCTGCCGCCGCTGCCATTGTCGCCTTCCCTCGCCGCGCAGCCGACGACCGTGCGTCGGCCGTCGAAGCCGCTGTGGCCTCGCTTCGCGCCGCCGGGCCGCGTTGGGCGGAGCGCCAGCGGCAGGCTCAAGCCGCGTCGGGCGAGCCACGCAGAACCCCCGAGGCAGCACGCAGCTGGTCGCCTCGGGCTGGCGGCCTTGGGGACGCGCCGCTTGCAACGCCACGCAAGGCCGAGAATCCTGTGTCCGTTGTCCTTTCACCCGAGCTCTTGTCCAGCAGCGAGCGTGCCCTCGCGCGCGCGGGCGGGGGAGGAGGCACGGCCGCCTGGAACCGCGAAGCGTCGCTCGAGCTCGCACGGGTGCGCTCCCGCTGTCCTGGCGGGGCGTTGCTTCGAGCGCGTCCGAGACGGCGGCCTCCTGCCAATCGCAGACCTTCCAGCGCTGTCGCCGGCAGCCCGTGCCTTCGGGGTTCGCCGCCGTGTGAGGTCCGAGGACCAGAGGGCTCTCGGCAGCCGCTGCTGGGGTTGCTGCCCTGGAAAGCGTTTCCAGTGGCGGGAGTCCGTAGGCGGCGGCCTCCCCTGCGATGCGGAAGCATCGGCGCGTCGGCCCCGCGCTCTTTTGCGAGCGATGGTGGGCTTATGTCTCGCATGGGATTGGCCCCTTATGGCAGCCTTGCTGCTCCTGGGGTTTATGGTGTGCATGAGGTCACGGGACCTGTCCGCGCGCCGATGTGACCTGTCGCTGCCGATCGACCGTCTGGATGGGTCTGGCGCGCTGAGCCCTGCGCTGCCATCCTTCGCATTGCAGCAGCTCGTTCCCGTCGGGCTCAGCACGCCAACTGTTCGGACAGTTCGTTTGTTCAAATTTGGGACGTTGTCTTCGGTCCGTTGAGTCCCTCCGATCCGCTTGCCCCGTTCGGGTATAGCGGCTTCCGTGCTTGGTTGAACCTTTTGCTGAGGGCCTTGGCCGTGCCTGTCGCCCAGCGGTCTGTTGGCGGTGCCTTGTCGCCCGCTTGCTTTCGAAGCTCGGCTACCGCCGCCTCCGAGGTCCTCGGTGCCCTTCCCGAGGCCGCGCAGGCCTCAATTGCTGTCCTTGCTACTGCCAGCGACCGCGTCGTCGCTTCATATTTGGATGCGAACCCCTTCAAGTGGTCCATCCTTTTTGCAGGCGCCAGCCAAGGCCTTGTCACTGCGCAAGGTCTTTGAGCTTGGGTTGGCTAGCTCGCCCTCGTGGGCGACCAGGCGTTGACCTAGTCCGCCTGAGCGGTGCCGCCCGTCGCGCGCGCGCGTCGGCCCCTGGCCTTTGTGGCGCCGGTCGCGCGCTCGCGCCGCGCGCCCGCGCGGAAACGTCGCTCAGCCGCGCGATCGGGATATTGATGGTGATGATCATGGTGATGGGGATTATCATCATCATATTGGCAATGATGAAGTTGTTGACGACCTACGATGATGATGACTTCGGTGATGATGATGCTGATGAAGATGCGGAGTCCGATGATGATGATGATTCTGGTGATTGTGATGAAGATGACGATGATGTTGGCGATGGTGATGATTATGCAACCGCTGTTGATCATGGCCATGGCGACGATGGTGAGGTTGCTGATGATGATGGTAATGATGATGCACATGATGATGATACTGCCGAGTCTGATGATGGTGGTGCTGGCGTTGATGACGATAATGATGATGACGATCGTGCTGATGGTGATACTGTTGCGGATGATGGTGATGAGGATTGCGCTGATGATGTCGACGAGGATAATGATGTTGTTGATGCTGATGATTATGATGCGAACGATGATGGTGATGTTGGTGATGGTGGTGATGATGGTGATGATGATGCTGATGTTGTTGATGATTATGATGATGTTGATGCAGAAGGTGTTGATGACGATCATGATGATGATGATGATGATGATGATTATGATGATGATGATGATGATGATAATGATGATGATGATGATGATGATGATGCTGATGCTGCTGCTGCTGCTGCTGATGATGATGATGATGATGATGATGATGATGATGATGATGGTGATGATGATTATGAGGGGTGCGGGGGAGGAAGGAAAAGAGGAGGAGGAGTAGGAGGAGGAGGAGGAGGAGGAACATGACGAGCAGTGAGGAATGAGGAGTGGCGGGTGAGGAGGAGTGCCAAGGGGGGGGGGGAAAGGCCGGAGGGAGGGAGGGAGGGAGGGAGTGAAAGCGAGAAGGGAGGGAGGAAGAGGAAAAGGAACAGGGGGAGGAGGAAGGGGAGGAAGAGGAGGAGGAGAAGGAGGAGGAGGAGACTGAAAAGGAGGTGGTGGCACCAAAACATTACCAAAAGGCCCGTGTGGTCCAATGATTGGCGGTCGCGAACAGACGCGGGAGCGTCCGTTCCCCCTCTCCCATCTTTTCCTCCCTCGTCCTTCTACTGCTTCTTCCTCGCAGCCCCATCAGTGCCCTCCCTCTTCCAATTGTGCTTGTGCGAGTGGCAAGTGCCAGAGAAGGAAAGGAAGACAAGAGGAGAACGGAACTGCTGATAATGATGAGTATCAGGACGAGAATGGATAAGAGAAGGATGCTGAAGAGGAGGTGGGCAAGGATGAGTGAAACGAACGGGACCACGAAATGGAGCGTAGACATCGAATGAACATGAGGGAGTTGTCTTAGGCTGCAACCTAAGCGCGCGCAGCGCGCGCGTGGTTCTACAGCTTGTATATGGACAAACATATTTATCCAGAGCGCGACGGCGGGCATTATACGAACTGCACTTCGAAACTTTCCGAGTGTCCGAAGCTTTCCAACAAAGTCGTGGAAGAATTTGGCGCCATCGACGCTGCAGCCAGGCCAGAGGCCCAGCGAGCGGGCCGCTCTCGTCCCCTGTCCGCCGCTCCTGCCATTACAGCTTCTGGCAAAGCAGTCGGTCGCGTGAGAAGGTGATTCATCACCGTAGACTTCATTGATGAAGTTGTGACCTGTCGGGAAGCCATGGGAATCTCTCTCTCTCTCTCTCTCTTGTATATGTAGGTACGGCGACAGACTTCAGCCAATGCGGCTACAGTCAACGCTTCCGTTCGATAGACTTCAGCCAAGGTGGCTACAGCCACTCATTCGCTCCCTCCTCCCCTGCTTCCCCTGTTCCCCTTCCCTCCGCACTGTCGGGCCTCCCGTGCTGCCCCTCCGATCCTCCCCCCCCCCTCCTTCCGCTTCCGCCTCCCTGCCGCCGCACTCTCTGAAAGGACCTCGAGCAGGACATGCTGCTGGAGGGCAGGACGGCCCTCCCCCCCCGAAGCGGTGGGTGGCTGATCTGAAGTCTGATGTTGGATCGCCGTGCAGCGTGCAGATGTGCGGACGCATCTGTCAAGCGCAGGCATTGATTAAGGCGCGTGGATTAGCGGCGGGTCCCGTTTCCATACGAACATTGGTGCGACCTGTCGCCAAACAAGGCGGCACTTGCGCCCTGTTTCGGGGGGACCATCCCCGATCCGTGTATCTGGCGCCCACGAGCCAGATCCTCGGATCCCTAATCCATGTTAACGTGTGCCCGAGTTCGACAGACAGCATTGGCTGGCCTTCGTTCGTCTCCGCAGAGTTGCAGCTGCCTCGAGCCTGCATTGAGCGTTCGATTCATGACGGGACCTTTCCTGTACCAGTTTGTTCGGAGCCTCGAAGGTTGCCCCGCCCTTCGCTCCAGGGGTCGATAAGTTTTTGCCCCTGCCCCCCCCCCCCTCTCCAGCGGTGTCGTCGCCCCACCCTGCTCCCAGCCCCCGCACTTCCCCTGCGCGGCACCGGCCTCCGTCCACACGAGCTCCAGATCCGCCCGAAGAGTCGCGGCCCGCATGTGGCGTTACGGTGCCCTTGCCCTTGCTCCTCTCGTCTGCTCCTTCCCTCCGGCTCAATTCTTTTTTCTCCCGCGTTCCGCCTCAGTTTTCGTCCGTCTTCGCCACAGCGTTGTACCGTGCATGAGTGCGCATGTGCAAGCATGTTCCACTGCGCATTGAGCCTTTCATCAGACTCACATGCGTGCATGCGCATGTAGGACACACTGAGCTGTGCTGGGCCCCCCCTTCCACCCCGCTGTCTTCCACCTCGTCCTTCCCATTCCTGTTCTCGCTCCCCCTCTTCTTCCTCGTCCTCGTTCTGCTCGTTCTGGTCCTCTTCCCACCCTCCCTTTTTGTCCATTGGATAATCCTCACTCCTTTTCCTCGTCCTGGTTCTCGTTCATCTCCTCCTGTTTCCTCGTTCCTTCCATTTCCCTTCATCTGCACCGCTTCCCTGTATCTCCCCCGACTGTGCCGAGCCCAGGATAGTTCGCATTGCCAACATTGGGGTCAGCACTTGCCTTTTTCTTGATTCAAGCAGTGACTGGCCCGACCGCACACGTAGTGTTTCGAGTGCTCGACCATGATTTCAAGACGCCCAGACATGAATCTTGACCTTGACAGGGCCATTTCATCGTCGAAGACCTTCTCTGGAACTCTTCTCTGCCTCTCTCTCTCTTTCTCCACCCGTGTCGTCTTCCATGTCCACTCGGCAGCAAACGGGATAAGTCAAGACGCCGAGAGGAGGAGTGGTCCGGGGGCTCGCTATTCCTTAGGCTACCCCATGCTTGTTCCGCGGGCGCTCCTCGTGCGCCACGGCGACTCTTGGGGGCCAGACAGGGGCCCCGTTCCTTGACCAGCGTTCCTTGCGGTAGCGCGCTGGCTGCACGTCGGAGGTGCGGGCTCGACGGCGAAATATTACCTCGACTGGGAGAGCGATTCCGCCCTCGGCCCTGGCCGCGCGTGCGGGCGAGGCGCACGATCCCCGGGCCTCTTGGAAACGCCGCGCGACGAGCCCCAGGCCAGGAGCGCCCCGGCCTCGGCGCACGCCTCGGGAGCGGCCTGCGGCGCACCACGGGCCGCTCCCTGGGAGTTTGGCGAGGCGGCGCGCACCATCGAGAGTCGTGGCGCGGCGCGCACGCCGGCCGGCCTTGCCTGGGGTTAGCTGACGGCTTCTTTGGAGTATCCAGTGGCCGTCGGCCTTTCCCGCCAGCGTGCCTAGGTTCCCGTCGGGTCTCGAGGGGTGTAATCATCCCAAACTGGGGTGGTAGTTTGGTGGGGGCCTCGAGGGGGACTGGGGTTGGGGATGGGGATCGGTTCAACGAGACCGATGTCGGGCCTGCGCTGGGCCCCGGGCGGATCTTCTTGGGCCTGCGCTGGGTCCCCTGGCGCGCCAGGGGCGGCGTTGGAGGCTCCGCCAGTCGGGGCGCAGCGGCGACCCAAGAAGTCGGCGCTGCGCCTCCGACCCGGCGTCACCCCAACATACTTATGCTATACAGTCGGGGCCCTGAAGAAGGAACCCTTCTCGTTGGGGAGGGGCTCGGTGTTCCCTGATCGTTCTGCCGTTTGCCTTCGGTTTTCCCGAGGCGTTCCATCGGGAACCGACGTTCAGCTCATGCGAGAAAGGGGCCTCGTTCCTTAATTTGTAGTTCTTTAGGTCAACGCCCCGACGGTATCCAGTGGCGCTCGGCCTCTCCCGCCAGCATGCCTAGGTTGTAAGTCTCGCCGAGCGCGTGCCACTACTCGCAAAGTGCCTACTCGCAAACGTCCGACATATACAGGTCTTCCTCTATGTAATGTATCGTGAATCCCCCGTGGAGGATCCAGGCAATTTGCGAGTAGTTGATTCGCGAGTAGTGGAACGCGCCTGTCCAAAGTCAGAGGCCTCTTGGACACCTACGGGGATTTCGCGGGAGGCCTCTCGGAAGCTTCCTGACGGTGGTCTTGGAGGTTTCTTGGGCCCTCTTGGGGCCCCCTGGGGCCTGATTTGGGCCTCTTGGGGGCCTCCTGGAGCAGCTGGGGAGCCCCAGGGGCCCTTCAACGTATTTACCGAGGACGCCAGCGGCGCATCACCAGCCGCTCCCTAGGAGTGTGACGCACGTGAGGGCGACGAGTTGCCTGGCGACTGATTCATGCTCGGGACGTCCTGGGTGCCTTTCGATGGGTGTCTCGGGGGGGTCTGTTGAGGGCACTGCGCGTGTGGTAGGGGGACAGGTTTGTTTGCAGGTCGGGAGTCTTTGGTGTTCAGTCCTCAGGAGGTCTGTTGAGATTTGGCAGGCTTCTGAAGTGGCCTCGAAGGGCGTCTTGTGGGCCTCTTGGGAGGCGCCTCGGGGGCCTCTTGAAGGGACTTTGGGGCCTCTGGGGCGTCCCGGGGGCTTCATGTGGGTGTCTTGGGGGCCCCTTGGGGGCATGTTGAGGGTCTCGGCGACAATGTTTCGGGGACAGGCTACGAACGCCCCTTCTCTTTCGCTTCTTGGGCCCCTCTTCGGCCTCTCTTGGGGCCCGCTTGGGGCTCTCTTGGGCCCTGACCCCTCATGGGGGCCTCTTGGGTTGTCTTGGGGCGATCTCGGACCTCTCCTGGGCTGTCTTGGAGTGCTGAAAGCTCGAAGCGACGAGAGCGCCACAGTCCGTTAAACATCCGAGTGGAATCATTGATGTGAACTTGGAGCTCTCCTGGGGCGTCTCATGGGTTCCTGAGGCCGTCTTGAGGCCATCGTGGGCCTGGGCTGTCTTCGGTTGCTCTTCGGCAGTTTCGGGCCCTCTCGGGCTGTCTTGGGGCCCTCGTGGGGTTCTCTTGGCTTGTCTTGGGGCCCTCCTGGGTCGTCTCGGGGCCGCCTGAGGCCGCCAGAGGCCTTTGCACCATGGGGGGGGGCCGCGGAGGACCGCGGGTAGAGTCAGGGAGGCTTCGACCAGGCTCTGGTGAAGGAGCCAAACACCGTGCCCAACACTCTGACACAGAGGTCTCCCGAGTGAAGAAGCGCCGCGGACGCGCTGTGGCGAGGCCCGTGCTGCTCGACGCCGCCGTCGACCGCCTTCTGCAACAAACTTGAATAACTCGGCGTGAACCGATAAAAAAAAACACTCTGACACAGAGGTCTCGCATGGCCCAGCCCGCAGGCGGGAGGCCTCTCGGGAGCTTGCTGGGCGGCGGTCTGGGAGGTGTCCTGCGGCCCTTCGGCGTACATTTTTCAGAGGGCTTCGCCCTCCGTCGCGGGATCCCCCAGGGCGGAGGTAGCCTGCGAACATGATGTGGCCACCCGCGGGCTTGCCGTGGAATTTGTCGGATCAGCCAGGAGGGGCACCTGGGGGCTTCTGTGGGGCCACCCTCGGAGCGCTCCCGCCAGCACTGGTCATCGAGGGGTGTCTGGTGAGCGGCGCAGGGGCCGTTGAGGGCAACCTGCGGCCGACTGGGCGCTCTCTTCGGCCATGTGGGGCGATGCCGATGGCGCTCTGGGGCCTACGGAGGCCACCGTTGGGGCCATCGGGGTCTACATGTGAGCCATTTTGAGACGTATGGGAGCCATCCTTGGGACATCCTCTGAGGGCAGCGTGCGATTAGCAGAACATATTGAAATTTCGAAGCTCTCGTTCTACGATTTGTTGCCTTCTCGGAACGCCTCCCTCATAGTGTGTATTTTGAGTCCTCTTGCACCGACTTAGGGTCGCCTGAGGCCATCGTGGGCAGTCTTGTGCGGGTGGGGCTGCTTTTGGGTCCGTCGGTCTCTCTTGGCAGTCTGGTGGCACCCCTGTGTGTCACCCAGAAGTCGTTTTTTTGTTTTCTCTGGGTCTCTCTCTTTTTCCCCACATCCTAAGTGGGGCTCTCGACACCCCGCGCTGGAACAATAAGAACCCATCATCATCATCATCATCATCATCATCATCATCATCATCATCATCATCATCATCATCATCATCATCATCATCATCATCATCATCATCATGATCATCATCATCATCATCATCATCATCATCACCATCACCATCACCACCACCACCACCATCACCATCACCATCACCATCATCATCATCATCATCATCATCACCATCATCATCATCATCATCATCATCGTCATCGTCATCGTCGTCGTCGTCATCATCATCACCACCACCATCATCATGTGCATCACCATCACCATCACCATCACCATAACCATCACCATCACCATCACCATGACCATGACCATGACCATGACCATGACCATGACCATGACCATGACCATGACCATGACCATGACCATGACCATGACCATGACCATGACCATGACCATGACCATGACCATGACCATCTCTATCACCATCACCATCACCATCACCATCACCATCATCATGACCATGACCATGACCATGACCATGACCATGACCATGATCATCACCATCACCATCACCATCACCATCACCATCACCATCACCATCACCATCACCATCACCATCACCATCACCATCACATCACCATCACCATCACCATCACCATCACCATCACCATCACCATCACCATCACCATCACCATCACCATCACCATCACCATCACCATCACCATCACCATTACCATCACCATCACCATCACCATCACCATCACCATTACCATCACCACCGTCATCTTCATCGTCATCATCATCATCACCACACCATGTTCTCACAGCCACCATCACCATCATTATCAATCCGCTCGGGTCATCCGATCCAAGCGGCGGCCTCGTTTGTGAGTGCATAGCGAGAAATGCTCGAGCGGTCCCTCCTTCCCTATGGGGCCCACACTTTCTATTACTAATCCCAGCGGGTCATCGGCAAACTCTACCAGGCATAGCACTAGAGCATCCTAAGGGGGCAAATCATGAGGATGTCTCGAGCGGGGGCCTCACCTTTGATTTCATCCTCTTCTACACTCTGCCTTCCTGCCTCATAATGGGAAGTCTTTGGAAAGAACAACAAAGGGATTCTAGTGGAAGGCCTCACAACAGGAACCTTTTGGAAAACGCCACAAAGGGAGGTTTCTATTGGAAAGCCTCACAAGAGGATTCTATTGGAGAGCCTCATAACAGGAATCCTTTGGAACAACCCACAGAGCGATTCTTTTGGAAAGCCTCACAAAAAGGAATCCTTCGGAAAGCACCGCAAAGCGATTCGTATGAGCTGTGGGCGGTGCGGGCCAGAAGCATGTATTATGACACGGCTATGGTGACGGAGGCAACCAGAAACATGCACACGCTCTCATCTCTGCATCCCCATGCGTTTTTTTTCTCACGGGGACGGGTATGCCCGAGCGCCCGTATTTATACACATATCATACATACATACACGCACACATACACATACACATACACATACTCATACACATACACATGCACATACACATTCACGTACACATACACGTACACATACATACACATACACATACACATACACATACGCATACACAGACACAGACACAGACACATATACATACACATACACATACACATACATACGCTTACATACAAACGAATGCATACTTACGCATTCATACATACGCATACATACATATGTAGTACTCCCGGTCTATTCATATGTACATGTACATATACATACACACATATACAAACACACATGCAAACATAACCAGGCTAACCACATATTTTGTATGCGCGCACATCTGTACATACACATTTATATGTATATATAAGCATATATATACATACACGGAAGGTCCCAGCCCCAGGGCACCGGGCAATGCGTAGCCAGACTTGGTCACCCCAGTTCTCTTTTGATCTCTTTCAGCCCCAGACGACGCGTCGTAGAAGTCCCCAAAGACCCCTTACAGGGCTTTTGGGTTCCAATATCAAATGGCGGCAGGTCCCGCGATAAACCTTAGGGAACTCCCGAGTCAACCTCGCAGTACCTGGCGGCAGTGTGCGGCCATATGCTAGAATCTAAGCGCGATTGAAGCGCGCGCGTGGTTCTAGCACATATACATGTGTATACAGAACTATTCACGGTGTGTGCGTATCTATAACCTGTATATATAAGCACGTGTATAGCGAAATTTCTCCAGTGTTTCCCTTCAGCTACCTCGTAGCTCAAATTTTCAGTTCCATTCTTGTGGTGTCAATCCTATCCAGCCACCGCGCCGTTGGGGGTCTCTAGGGGTTCTCCAGGGAACCTCCAGGGCGGTCTCGGGGCGGCCCCGTGGTGCCTTCGGCAGGTGTCTCCAAGGGCCCAAGGGCTCTTGGGGTCAGCTCGGGTCTAGGCTTCTCTGAAATCCTTTCGGATAGCCGATCTGGCCCTTTGCCGAGGTCCTTCAGCTTCCGGCCCAGAGCGCCCTCCGATATATGCTGCTTAGCCTGCGGTAGCCTCGCGCGACACCGCTTGGAAATTTCATCCTTTCGGGGGTCCGTCAATCCCTCTACTTGTGGAGGACAATCAATGGAGAGGAAGCATGTTGCCAAATAGTTTCCAGATGTCTGAAACATGTGTTAAACATGTTTCAAACGTATAAACACATGTCTAAGACATGTTTCGGACATCTTTCCTACATTTTAAACACATTTTAAATTCAATGATAGGACTGTTAGGGTGTCCATTGTCGTGGCATCCACAACCCTCTGCCATTCACAGACAAGTGTGAGCCCCGTAGTATGCCGCTGCCTGCTCACGGCACGGTGGCGGATATTTGCCAATCGGGCTTATCAGCGCCACGCCTGTGTGGAGCAGGACGACGTTCACGTTCATCCACCTTTGTGGTGCCATCCTGCGCTTTTCTTCCCCTACTTTCATGAGAGTTCGCACATGCAGCGACCCATTACAAGGGGGTCAACTGCGCGGACGTTCGTGTGTAAGCTGTCCGCGTAAGTGTGCGCCCGCGTAAGTGCGCGCGTAAGTGCCCTCTTCTGGACATCCGCGCAAACCATGGAGATAGGTCGCAATCTCCTCGTGAGTAGGACTACTTGTTCTTTTGTTGCTGAAGTGCCTGTCCTGCCTTCGGCGCGCTCCCCCGCTCAGCTTTACATAGACGTGGGGGCCACGCTGCTGGGGCTCTTGCGCTGGTGCGCCCAAGCCCTCCCTGTTCGCAGAAGCCCGCGAAGCGGTGATCAGAGGGCAGAGCAATAGTTTGGACGATGGGGTGAGGGGGTGTTTTTGGAACAGGGCTCGCTTTAGACGGTGTTTTGGCGATCTCGAGGACCGTTTTCGTTTCGACTTCCTTGTGCAGCACAGCCGGGACGAAGACAAGAATAACGACAGCGAACACAACACGACAGCGACAAACGCGTTTTAGGCCGAGCCCTGTTCTGGAGGGAGGCGGCGTGATGGATGGAGGGAGAATGCCTCGAGCCAGCATTGGGAGGGGATCCGGGGCCGGGCAAGACCTCCTGAGAGCCGAGGGGGCAGCCCGCTCCGTGCGTCGAGCTGGGGCCCCCGGGGCTCCTGGTCTGCCCCCCTTCGGGGCCCCGGGGGCCACTTCTGGTCCGCCGTGCACGGAACGCGTGCCTCTGTCGGCCACGCGCAGAGGGGGGTCACGGGGGAGGGGGGAAGGCTCCTGAGCAGCACCCCTGCTTCTCTCAGAAGGCGCGGGCCTCGTCTACGCATGCAGGGCCTGCGCCTTCTAAGAAGCAGCCTCCTCCCAAGAAGCCTCCCCCCCTTCCCCTGCCCCTCCCGTGCGCACCGCCAACACTTTCGGTCCGCCGTATGGTGAACGCGTGTTGTTGGAACGTGCACCAGCGCGCGCCGCTGAGGAGAGTTCGGTGTGATGCGGGATGCCCAGTACACATGTATCCGACGAAGGCATCTATACACCACCAGCGTGCCAGCCCAGGGCCATCTTGGGCCGTAGGATGGCATATAGACCCTCCTGGCTCGGCCAGGAGGGCGTATACACCATCTTAGGGCCCAGGATGGCCCTGGCCTGGCACGCTGGTGGTGTATAGATGCCTTCTGCGTAATGTGAGCACACGCGGCCTGGACGTGTGCCGGCTGCGCGTGAGAGTGACCCCTCGCCGGCACTGCCACGGATGCGGGCTCCCAGGGGGTTCTCCCAGCACCGGCCCGCACGCTTGGATTTGGCCCCTTTTCGCGGCCCCTGGAAGCCGCGCAGCAAAGGTCACTCTTTCCCAGGGTCACTCCTACGTGGCCGAGTGTGTGTGTATATGTATGTATGTATGTATGTATGTATGTATGTATGTATGTATGTATGTATGTATGTATGTATGTATGTATGTTTGTATGTATGTATGTATGTATGTATGTATGTATGTATGTGTATGTATGTATGCATATGCATGCATGCATATGTATGTATGTATGCATGCATGCATGTATGTATGTATGTATGTATGTATGTATGTATGTATGTATGTATGTATGTATGTATGTATGTATGTATGTATGTATGTATGTATGTATGTATGTATGTAATGTATGTATGTATGTATGTATGTATGTATGTATGTAGTATGTATGTATGTATGTATGTGTGTGTGTGTGTGTGTGTGTGCGTGTGTGCGTGTGTGTGTATATATATATATATATATATATATATATATATGAGTTTGTACGTGCGTTCTGTGCGCAAGCCTAGAATTTCATGTGCATGTTCAACTTTCCGCGCAGTTCTTCGTGCAGGTTGCGTAATTGTTTGCGCACGCACGCGCACACGCGTAGTTGCCTGCACGCACGCACCGAAGACGCCTGCGGCGAAAGAGCGCTGCCCCCTGCCTTTAAGAAGTGCCTATGTGACCGGACGTTGCGGCCAGAGTTCTGCCGAGCCATCGGATTATGTGTTCCCCCAGCAGTTGTGGAAATGCTTCGGGGAACACGTGGGGGAGAAATCATAATAGGAGGGTCGGGAGGAAAAAGGAGTAGGAGGAGGAGGAGGAGGAGGAGACTTTTTTGGGGCTTCCAGGGGGCCCCTTGAGGCACTCTTGGGACATCCTGGGAGCTTCCTGGGGGTCTCTTGGATTCCTCTTGGGGGCCTCCTTGGGCCTCTTGGGCGCCTTTCTGAGCTTCTTGGGGGCCCCTTTTGGCCGTCTTGGGGCGTTCCTGGCCCGTCTGACGCCGTCGGAAGCCGTCTTCGGGGCCTCTCTGAACCGACTTGGGGCCCTCTTGGGGCGTTTCAGGGCCGTCTTGGAGACCACATTGGGCGTGTTGGGGGCCTCCTGGGCTGTCTTATTGGGCCGTCTTTGGGGCCTCTTGGGTCGTCATGGGGCCATCTTGGCAACCTCTTGTGCGCTCTTGGAGGAAAGAAGCTTGAACTCGGAAATTCCTCCGAAACCCGAAAACGGGCAGGGCCAAACTCGAAACCCCGACATGGGCGAAATCCGAAAACACCAGAAGGCCAAACCCGAAATTCCAGGAGGCGTGAGATCCGACAAGCTGGGAGGGGGCCTACCTGGAACAGCTGAGGAGGACACGTCGCGAAGAGAGTGGAGTAGCATGTAGTTCGTCCCCCCAGGCGTTTGCCACGTGGCGAATACAGTGTAATAGCTTCAAGTTCCGCCCCGCAGCCGTCGCCGCGTGCCGAGAAGAGGGACGAGTGAGGGGGAGGGACAAGCTAGGTGCGTTCGCGTCATATCTGAAGTCCTACCCCTCTCTCCCATCCGTTACCATTGCGTAGATATCCTCTCTATTTTCACAGTCGGATGTCGAGCAGGGCAATGATCGCGAGAGGGTACGCGATGCATGTGCATGGTGGAGCACGGCACGGCATGGCGTAGAAGAGCACGGCAGAGCGTAACATGCCATAGCATGGCGTGGCATTGCGCAGTGAAGCATCGCATCACACACTATTGTAACGCAAAGCATGGCATCGATGGATGTGGAGGGAAGAGCGGAGGAAGGAGGGGGCGGGGGAGAAGGGAGGAGGCAGGAGGCAGGAGGCAGTGAGGAGGGAGG